TGCGCGAGGACACCGGCTCTCGACCCCTTTCCAAGCTGTCCAGCTTGTTTTGTGAAACGCCCCAACATCCTGGAGCTTCTCTGAAGAAGCGGCTGTCGGAGATCAGTGGAATGAGGGTGACGCGCAAGTCAAATCAAGCGCTATCACAATCGCGCAGGAAGATGTCCAGCTTGCGTTCGAAAGGGAGAGTCGATGCGAGGACATGGTGAGAAGGAGAGACTTGTTGGGAAGATGTACAAGTTTGAACGATGTACATGCATGCATCGATGGGATGATCAGCCACCAGCATCTCTTGTCTTGTACGAGTCATAGCAGCGCAGCGCAGGATCTTCGCGTCACGATCGCTGAGAATTCAAATTCGAATCCCCATGTCTGAAATCACCAATTTTCGAATCATCAATAGAGAATCTGATTCAAAATGCACATGCACATCAAATTTGCAACAATCACGACTTGTATTCAAGACTTTGCCGCGCGCAAATCAAGGCAAGCTATGGGCGGTGCCGAAGCTTCGGCGTGGCTTCTTAAATCCAGAATTTCAGCTGTTCGCATGCATGCATGCTGGCAGCGCACCAAGCTCACAACAAACCCCGCGGGGCTCGGGGTGTTTCGAGGGCCGAGGGCGTTTGCTGCCTTGCGGCTTGTGCAGGCTGGGCCTATGCACTCGCAAGTTGACTCGCGACTGCTCCGATCGATTTGCACACAGCTCGTGTTCATGTCTTGATCCTCAAAATGTGGGCTTTGAGTCAGCCTGACGACTATAGGGACCTTGTCTTGACTGCTGATGTAGCTTGGAAGTCACGACTGACTCGTGATTGCAGGAATCGCGGTTTACGGACAACAGATCTGGCACCGAGTCACGAGTCACGAGTCACGAGTCACGAGTCACGAGTCACACTCATCACACTTGCACTGTCACAGCATCAGCTATAGCTGTAAGCCCGGATCATACCGAAAAGTCACAGTAAAATCAAGAGTCTTGCTGATGGTCCTTATCTCTCGCACGAAAAGAAATAGAGCAAATACAAAAGTCCCCATCGCGCATATGTCTGCAGCACGAATCGTGAAGCGTGAAGCGTGAATCGTGAAATTGTGGCTGTTTCGGCGGTGCGCAAGGCATGTTTGCGAAGATGCACGCGATCGAATTATTT